TCACCATGTTCATTAATTTTCATAATAGCCTATGGTAAAGGTAAATATTACGACGAGGAGGTTCATCTGCCGAGGGACTCTAAGCAACCAGGCAACGAGGAAAATGTCGATGAAAACAATTCTATATATTTCTAAGGAAGTTTGGGAATGGGTGGATGTGTGATCCATCTCAAATGGCGCCAGTCTAACCTCAACTTTAGAATAATTATAGCTTGAGGGAGCAGCGCTGAGTTCCAAATACAAAACGTAACTGATAATTTACAGTCGTCAGTCATCATTCTATTTATAAGTTCCACCAATGGTTGTAAAATTTTAAAGATGTACGTACTGAGTTATAGTTCTGCTCAACAAATAAAAGTAAAAGCATCAAAGAAAAGTCAATAACAACTCTATAACTTAAAACAGGCCACGCTCAAATGCACAAGCCATAAAAGATACACGCTCTGTTTAATTTTCTTAATGCGGAAGTTTTTACACATGCATGAATGCATTCGATCCAATTAAGCCTTAAGAGCGGGAGAATAATCAGCAACGTCCAAATTTACGAACTTTGCAACGTAATTTCGGAAAATTAAATACGGTTTCAGTTATATTTGTCGAAGCTCCGATTTTCGAGCGAAACTTGTGACTTCGTCTTCAGAAAGTTTGGCGACGGTTCTAAACTACATTAGAGTAACTTTTTATTCTTCAGTAGAGATATATGAACGTTTACAAAGGCATTACTATTCAAAAAATCCTTACATGCCGAACGGCAAGGGCTCTCGATATTCCATACTTGAAAGGCAGGGGTAATCCGGCCCCTATTTTGTGAAGATTAAACTTGAAGCTGTTTCAGTCTTACTTCTTACATACTAATTCACCTTCTTTTATTTAGTGTCCATCCAGTATAATCCAATATGAAATAACGTTTACAACTGAAGACTAAAACAAATGTACCGATGTCTCTCGAGTTGAGAATCAATCAGAATTTGCTATGAGCATTCTAACACGATTTTACTACAAAATAAATTGCACATTTCCTTTCGATTTGAATTAAACAAATATCTTCTTCACAACATTCATCAGTCTTCGAAGAAGCAGAAATAAAAAAAACCACGCGGGAAACACTTTTCTTCTTTCCATACCTAAACTGAGAGAAAACAGATAGGAAATGGTCTTAAAACTAGTGTACGCTCTCAGTTCTTTTGGACAGAAGATAGCAGCAGGTTTGTGTAATTGTGTATGTGAGGTTAACGAACATGTCACCAGGAATTTGTTGTGATGATGAAAGTAATTCATATAACTCATAGATATGTTTACTGTGCGTAATATACATCTCTTTCCTCCCAACATTGCAAGCAAAACTCCAACAGGGATTAACCAATTGTCAAAAAAAAACCCAAAACTGTTGCTATTTCCATTTCGATCCGTTTAGGAATGTAATAATGCGATTGATAAAAAAATTTACTTACTTAACTTTGGCGTTCATCGTGTTCTTCAGGGTAATTTGCATTGGTAATAACCTCAATATTTTGGGGTTCTTCATTTCTCATAGGATTTTGCCTCGTCGCTGATAGAGTCTGTTGTTGAATATTCCCTTGCTGCTGTCGAACCTGAACAGCTGTGAAAAACAGTTTCATGTAATACAGGATCCAAAGAAGAAACATCAAACATGCTAAGCTGAAACACTCTTGAGAGAAAAGCATGGCTCTCAGAACAGTTGAACAACAGGAGGAAAGAAACCTGCACGAAATTGTCTGAATGGACTGTCTTTGCGCCGGGGCGACTTCTGATTGTTTGATGAATAATCACATGTACAGCCTTATTTCAACAACATCAAGCTCGGCTACTAGTGACGTCACGTCATAGCGAAATGGACTGTGACCACTTAAGTTAACTCGGTGCCGCTTCAAGTACACAGGTTCAGCTCATGTCTCTTTGCGTCCACGACCTAAATACTCGTTGAAACATTTTATAGGTTTATAGCACAGGACTGTGCTAGAGGAATGTGCGGCGACTGGTGATAATTATATGAATCATCGCATGTACAGCCTTGTTTCTTAACACCAGTCTATTAGTATACAAAGAGGCGGAGTCACGACATAGTGAAACGTACTGTAACTTAGTTTAATATAGATCTCACGTAAGGGTCCTTTCATAAAAAATAACGGCCCTTTGTGGTCATGGTCGTAAATACTCGTTATGGCATCCTATAGGATTATAACCGTGAACTCTGGAGTGGTTAAAACCTCAAATAAAGCTTAAAAAGCTAAACCAACATTCGGTACTCATAATGTCGAGTGTTGTCCGATTGATTTAAAATCTTCGTCTCAGTACAATAACAATGTTAAAGTATTTGCAATGTCTACCAATTTCGATTTCATCTCAGTTTTACTATAAATTTATAGGTGTATAAAAAAAATTGCTGGCTCAATTCAGAGATTTTGAGAAGATGAAAATTAACCTTAAATTAAATGTAAAACAGTGGCAACTAACATCATGATGGCAAAATTACATCGACGCAACGGCACGCTGCAGGCCTGCTGCGCGCCCGCGTCCATTAACCTAGTGAAGTAGGTTGAATTTTCCAGTCCAATATAGCAGAAAGCCTAAAATGCTCCTCCAGGAGATACAAATTGGCACTGGTAAGAAACGAATTACGTAAGGGAAACCGAAAATCTCAAAACTCATTGAAACTGAAACATATCGTCAAAACGTCAGAAAAATAGTATAACCAGTTGGGAATATCTGTAATTCAACCAAAGAAAGAAAATGACGAGTATGTGAGAGGATCAATGTGTTCTTTAATAAGTGTAATTCATGGCAATTAGTGAGAAAAACAAGCACAAATGAAAGTTTTTTTTTTTTGCTGTCCGTCTCTTCGATACCTAGTTAAGAAAAGGTTAGAAAAAGTCTCCCTCTACGCAACTTTGACATTCATCATTTTCTAAGGATATTTTCAGTGTGGTGGAACTGTTTAATTGTTGATCTCTCGTCTTCTTCTCCTCTCTCCAGTACTAGCCGGCCAACTTTGTTCTTTTCACTGGTACACGATGTTAATTAATGTTCTCTATCGGTTCCCTCTGCCACCAAGCTCTGTCCATTTCAATCATAGGATCATCGATCCACATCACGGTAACAAAGATAAGACTGGAAATCCTTGAATTCACTGTATCCTTGAAAGTTGTCGGCAGAGACGAAACAAGCCGTTTAACTGGCGGTTTAGTCTCTCAAGTACAATTTCAGCTCGATCTAAAATCGGGTTTCTACTTATCTGGCAAAACTTTTATTCCCCAGAAAAGGAAACATGCGTGGAACTAGATCGCTATGGCCAGTAACGTTACAAAACCGTCTCAGGCTGTTGATTAAATTGTCATTGTTTCATAATACAACTTGGAGAGTAATTCATATCAATGCTATTTACTTTACAATATGATACCAGAGATGCCCGAAAACTAGAAAATTATCGAATTATAGTAACCACGATTGTCCAAGGAAATTCCTGACGAGAGGACGTACGCACTTGTATTTCGGGAGCGACGTTTCGAGACGCTTATCCGGCAAAGATGTGGTAAGGTCCAGCTAAGTGAAAGTAGCACGCGGTGATAAACTAAGGCTTACACATGCCTCGTGGAGTGTTTGAAGAAAACTTTGAGACTTTTCCTCCCCGTCTGTTTCTGTGTAGCCTGAACCGAGAGTGGCAAGAATTCAGTTTGTTACTTTGGGTTTCCTGAAGCCGGATGTCACGGATCAGAGAAGTTTTTCAAACATTTCTAGTCATGTAGAAAATTTGCGATGTTTAAGATGATTGTTGTAGTTCCTCCGAAAAAACTTTACGCTCGGGACGTTATAGCCGTAATAATCCACAAAAGAGTGAATTTTTAACCCGCGCTGACTAGTCAAAATAGAGAGATTGCGAAAGTCGTGCTACAAAGGTAGAAGCTGTTAGAAAGTTAGGGAGAGCCAGACTGCAAGGGAACGGAATCGCAAAAGAAGACTAATAGAGGAAGACGAGGATTGATCAAGTGATTAAGAAACAGCTAAAGATGTTAGAGATTCACCACCAACGTTGCGCTCCTCTTGTGTAGATTGACTTTGATCATACCTTTTTGTAAGATGTCCTAAGAGGAATAAGATCTTGAGCTCTGTGAACAGAACTAATAATTTATGTCTGAAAGCCTCCTCGCATATTTGGAGATAGTATGCCACCGTAACCTGCTGTGTTCTTTGGAGCTGATTTTTAATAGCTTCCTCTCCGTTTGGTCACTGGATGTCATTAATAAAGGGCAGAGATCAAAGTAATCATTTCTTGTCATGTTTTAGAGCATGTTCTAGAGCACAAGGAAAGGCACGGCGTGCCTTTCCTTGTGCTCTAGGTTTTATTTTTCAGCACAGTTTCCTTTTTTTCTGCAGCACTTAACGTTCGGTGGTCATTCAGCTAGTCCACTCTCTGATATGTTACCTCTTTAAGCTTTTATGTATGCACAATACCCCAGAAAGAGATTTAAAATGTAACTTCTTCCTACTGCAGTCAAACGTTATCAAGCAAACAGGTAGTGAGAAGATTCAAACTATCAGGTGAAAGTTGTTATCTTGATCTAACACCAAATTCTGGAAATTTATTTAGCAGAAGATGTGTGAAATTAGAGGGGAGAATTAACAGTCAGTTCTTGGGAGTTAAAGGGTTATCAGTCGGCACTTGTGCTCGACTGATGAGCCAATAAGAATTTAGTCTTAACTCGTTCATTTTCAGTATCAAGTTAGCTTGGAGAATCCTTGATCAGCGTGGTGTCTCGCTGAAAGCATGCTGTGGGTTTTTTTACAATATCATTTCATATATAGATAAAATGTTTTGAATATCAAAATCTCTTTCCCAGGTTACAGTAAATTGCACGTGGCGCTACATTGGCAATTTCTCTTAATTTCCAACTACTCGACGTCTCTCCCTTGGCAACACTGTCAAATAAGTTCCTAATACTTTTATCTGGCACCGCAACGGTGCTTAAGGCAAACAGTTATGATTAAAGTTTCGCAAGAGGGTGAATTCCAGCCGCACAACAAACTTCATCTGCCGCGCGTGTCCCAGTTTCAATCGCAGTAGGTACAGTCGAACATGACCTTGAACTAGTGGCTTCACCCGCAAAGAACAAGCGATCGTCAACAGGGCTGGCGAGCACGCGACGGAATTCGTAAGCATGCGCAGTGGGTGAGGTATATCCCCCGCGAATGTAAGGATGGTTTGACCAATGGAAGTACACGAAGTCCATGAACGAATTGCTGGCAGGGCTTGGGTCCGAGGAAGTGCTGTCATGAAAGAATGAAAAGCAAAGTTATAGCAGCACTTAACAGAATGCAGGAGGCGTATTACAGTGCAACAATTGTCACTTCAGTCCTATTCCATGATTGCATCAATCAGTTTCCAATTTTGCTTTTCAGGTTTTGAAAAGCAGAAATTAAGTAAAAATAGCATAATTTTCAAAACTGAGCATAAATTTTAGCCTGATTTTTGGACAATGCTGGTGACACAATATGCCTCTCTTACAAGCACAATCTATTAGGGCCTACTCAACTTTACGGTACATTCATACCCAAATATCTCATCCAGATGACTCAAAAATCCTCTCAACACTTCCTGTCCGCTGAGATACCGTTTCTCTTCCGCGGGCTCGGCAGTTTCAAACCCGACAACCACGTGACATTTTTCGTCACTGTCGGGACAATCATGTGAGCAAGTCCATATCTCACTAGCGAACCCACGAACGCTGTAAATTTGATGCAGCTTCTCCGGCCAGAAGCGGCGTTTGAAACGACAAGCGATTTTCCACGCGCCCAGCATCTGTATCGTGCGTATGGCCTTGTTCTTGTCAGCGGGAAGTGCTGGAGTGAAGGTTATGTCGCCATCTTTGAGGACTGTTAGTGGTACAGTAATGATCACGTGCTTGGCGGTCATCTCCTGGCCATGTTGATTTTTCAGAAGAATTCGTCCACTGTTGTTGGATCTCACCCTGTCTCCTGCCCGAAATATATGAATCAAGACATTCTTTCCTCGCCAAATTTTAGTTAGCATTTGAATCCTTAAGCTCTCTTAAAACAAAATCCGAATTCCATCCAAATACAACTTTTTTAGGAGGACAAGGAAAAGGTTTTAAAATGAAAAAAAATTAACCATCGCTGAGAAACAAAGGCTTTGTAATAATCATATAGAGGCACAATAACTGTGCCAACAATTTCAGAAAGAGGTTAGTTGCATGAAACTCTCACGAAAGGACGAAACTCAAATCTAACGAAGGGAAAATGTTACAACCAGGTAACCACAATTCTCTGAATAAACTACTGCTGTAAATCAATTGCGCGCTGACAGATTCCTGAAATAAATAAAAACTAAAACGAAAGAGCTAACCTTTCCAAACAACTTCCTTAACCTGCCAGTTAAGACGCTTATCCACATCCATACTGTTAGCCAAGTAGTACTTCACCAGCTGTGAGTAAGATTCCGCGAGTCTAAAGGAAAAAGTTTCAATGACAGAGAGCGTCGGTGCCTTGTACCAAAACAACTTCAAGTAAAAAACTCAGTGTATGAAAAATTGACTACGACCCTGGTTTACCTTCAGAATACCACGAATTCTACAGGCAGACATTTTTATCATTTATTAAAATAACCTTGTCTTTTTCAAAACAAAATAAGTTCAAAAACTATTTTACCTGCAATCTTCAATTCCCCACTCATATTTGGACTCCATTCTCCTCCGCCCTTCCCGCACTCCATAGTGATCCAAGGATCCTGCAGATATCTTCATCTTCCACCAATCAATTACATCCAACACGTCACGTGACAAGCCTTTCTCTTCAAGTCTCACCTTCACAGAATCAGACAAATATTCCGTTTCCGTTTCTTGATTTCTGTATTTGCTGTTGATCAATTCGGCCCACGCTTCTCGAGCAAGTCTGATTTCCCGTTGATTACTGTTCGTCGAGTAGAGTTTTCCTTTGTAGAATAATTTTTCTCCTTCTTCCCCAGCTTCACATTGAGAGGCCTGAAAAATGACATGTACGTAAAATTTATCTGAAAGGCTTTTATGCATTACGATGAAAATCTTCTATTATTAGAATGGCACTCGAAACAATTTTCACCATCATGAGCCTTTCCGCGGCAAAAATGTTCTCAGGTGAAAGAAGGAGATTAGCAACTTCAAAAACATTCACCTAACGTATAGTGCACACCTCACTCCATTCCCCCTCAAAACGTGTTCATGAAAGATTATCACTTTAACATCAACTTAGTACTTGTACAACATTTATCCATGCAGATGGGAGGCTCAGCAACAACATACAAGCTTTGAATCTGTTTCACAAGCCAATTTTTTGTAATTATAACAAATAATAATAGAGAGATTTATTTCGGTGGTGAAAATTAAAAAATATAACTTTTAACTTAATTACGAGAAGGGGTATAAGACTTTACTTACTGGCAGAACAACCCATCCACTGTCACAAGCAATCTTGTTCACCACAGTGTTAGATCCATGGATAAACTCTCCACCAAGATCAATTGGAGCAAACCCTTCAAATGGCTGAACTTGCTTCACTCTTCCACCTGGGTTAATTCAAAGTATATCCAAGTAAATATTAGTTCCTGATCATGGAGGTAGATGCCCCCCCCCCCCCCCCCCCCCAAATAGCCCTGGAACTGTATCAGATGCAATTATCAAATGATTACAGCAGTTTCATGTCTTTTCTTGGAGGATATTAGTGTCACACTCAGCTGCACCTCATCAATCACTTTTTGTTTTGTCTAAGACATTTTGGAGTCATCTATGATCTATTACTGGACAGATGTGTGGCAACATGGAATCTGTAAGTGAAATTTTCCACATGTTTTGCCTAAAAAAAAAACCTGCAAAGATACCTTAAAAGCTTAGCTCCTCTTCTTCTAGGCAGCAAGCTCTTGTTTTTAGGCTCTTGAGAACTACAACTGCATTTTTATAAACCACTTTTCACATAAGAGCATTTTCATTTGCAATCACTTGATATGATCTTTTCAAAATTGATACCCCTTACCTAGATAATTGGATGCCTCCAAAAGGACAACAGGAATACCAGCCTTAGACAAAGAAGCTGCTGCAGAAAGCCCGGCCAGCCCTCCACCAACAACCACAACCTGATTTGCAGGAGAAGGTCCTACTCTTCCTAAAGAAGATCAGAAAAAGGTTAAGTTTTATGTTCACAAAGACCCATTTTTGCCTGAAGCTTAACCAGGTTTCCACTGAAACTGAAATTAAAAAAGTAATAGCAGAGATGGCACAGCCCCTTTTCACCTTGCCACTCAACACCAAAAGGGCAAAAATGATTTTTAGTTCTAACAATAGATATTGAAATTATTTATTATTGACAAGAGCACTGCACACATACCATTCCAAGGAAATGAGGGTTGGACAATATTTAAATCCAGCCTTGAACTTTCTTCAAAATTATTCATCAAGGCTTTTACTTGCCTCATAGTTTGTTTTCCATAATCGGATGAATTCAAAATAGTGACAATATCTTCACAAAAGTTTAGTAGTGAAGATGTTGCAATGTAGCCCCATTTGATACCATTTTCAACCTGGTAGTTAGGAACTAAATTTGGCCTGTAAATAATCAAACAAGTCCACTGACTTCCAACATCAGAAGAAATAAGATCAGCCTCTATCCAGCGAAATCCTGCTATGTAGAGAGACTTGCAAAGACCTGATTCTGCACACTTGTTGGTAGGTTTAGAATTATGCTTCTTTTTAATCACACTGAAGATTTCCTTGCATTTATCAAAACCACACCGTTGAGCATACTGTAAAAAAAGCAATAATAAATGCTGTAACATTAAACCTTCACACCCAAACATCAGTATACACATTCTCCATTCTGTTCTCTATACATTTCCTTAAGTGCTGACAAGGAGAATTTGTTTAACAATCAAGAGCTTCTTTAGTTGGTGATCATTTCCTTTATTCTTGTGACCTTAATGTTTGATTCAAGGGTGATATTGTGGGGAGAAATTAGAATCCAATCACTCTTAGGGGTTAAAGGTTAAAGTAAGTCTAATACTTGTGGTAGTCTCCTGAGAAAATCAAGAGAAGTAAGGTTTATGATGCACTCTCAACATAACTTAAGGTGCACAACTGGGTAGAGAAATTGTTCAATCAACATGTAATTTTTCCTTACAACATCCAAATTATTATCCAACAAACAGCTAATGATAATACTAATAATAGGTATATTTAACACCAATTTCTCCTAACTAATTTACAAGGAAATGTGTAGCCACTAGAAAGGAGAATTGACAATCAGATCTTGGGAGTTTCCTTTAAAAAGGGTTAAGGAAAAATACTCCATATCTCAAGGATGCAACCTTAGATTTAAATAACACTTTATACCCTAACATCAGTTACTATATTCTCCATACTTTTCTTTACACATTTCTTTCAGACTGACAAGGAGAATTTGTTCAACAATTAAAGCTTTTTAGCTTGGCAATCATTTCCTTTACTCTCATGATCTCAATGAATAATTCAGCAGTATAACTGCTAGGAAAAATAAGATGCTGGTCACTCTTATGATTTTAAGGGTTCACGCTGGTCAGTGCCATTCTGGATGATAATGAAAGTATCCAAGCTTCCCTTCACTTTTCTTAAATTTTTGGATCTATTTAAGATTGGTCAGGTTCACTTTTAATCAATTTAGTTTTTCAAAATTTGGTTAGAAAAGCTAGCTGACACATGTTATAATATAAGTGCAGGCAGACAAAAACAAAGAATTATCCAATTCTTTTGGCACTTCTGCAAATATACAAAGCAGCACTGTAATAAGCAGTCATCCTGTATTAACTCTTTAAGTCCCACTAGTGACCAAGACAGAATTTCTCCTTACACTATCAATACAATATCAAGCAGACAAGTAATGAGAATAAAGAAAAATATCAATTAGGGGATTATTAATTGATCCCATACCAAATTCTCCAAAGTAACATCATATGAATTGTATGGCAGACAGTAAGGAGAATTTCTAAGGAGATCCTGGGATTTAAAGGGTTAAGTGGTCAGTTTTCAGAGTTCCAAAATTGTTAGCCCTTAATGACTGTAATTTAACAGTTGCAGTCACTCTTTACAGAGTCCCAACTGTCTTTTGGTATTGTCCTCAACCTGCACTGAACAGTCACTTGAAGTGGAACAACTCAGACAAATAAAACTAAGAAAAATCTTCCACATAACATTAATCCATTTTTGTCTCCCAAAGTCAATGTTTTTTTGTATTTTTGAGCAAGTGTATGCACATTTATCTATTTTTATAATACCCTTATTCTGAAAAATTTGTATTAACCCTTTAATTCCCAAGATCTCATCAGCAATTCTCCTTACTGTCTGCCAAATGATTCTCATTATGATTGTTTAGAGAATTTGGTATCAGATCAATAAGTAATCCCATAATTGATATTTTTCTTTATTCTAATAACTTGTCTGCGTGTATTGTAAGGGGAAAGTCTGTCTTGGTCACTCACTGGAGTTAAAGGATTAAGCCGTCACCACGCCATTCCCTGTGGGATTAACTGCTTAATACAGGTTTGACTGTATTTTGCCCTCTCAGCCCCAGAGTGACCAAATTTGGTGCCCCTTCTTTTAGGATTACATTGGTTAAATGTTTGATTATGAGAACAAACGTCTTGGCACTTGACTTCTCCCTTCCTTATCATCTGCCATAATTCTTGTGACTTTAGTTTGGAGAATTTGGTATTGGATCAATTACAATCCCCTAATTGGTATTTTTCTTTTTCCTCATCACTTGTCTGCTTGATATTGTGACGAAAATTTTTATCTTGATCACCCATGGGAGTTAAGAAACATTGTTTTTTTTAAGGGTTTTATTTTTTGGTCACCTAATATGATTCAACAGGTATTCTTTAATATTATTAATAATGAATTATTTTAAACTGAAGTTTGTTTAGCCTTAAATAGCTAAACACCTTGAGGAAATAAGACACTTAACAAACCAGTACTTATTTTATTAAATCAAATCACCCTTCCTTAAACAAAACAATATTTAAATTAGGAGAAAGAAAAAAAAATACTCATTCTAATTATAATTATGGAGGGTCTTAACGCATTTCGTGACAGATGAAAACAGACGATGACCTAATTTTTCCCAGCTCAGTGGTTCACCTATTAAAGTTGTTCCCCTCTAATTATTCAATTATAATAGCAAGAACGAACGGCATCTAAAAGGTAGAAACTGACCTTATTTACCACTGAAATGGCCTCGTTTACTAACTGCAGTCTGGTATGATTCAATTCTTCGAGTTCGTTGAATCGCTCAGCTGTAGAAATAAACTTTACGAAGCCATAGTTTCCGCCAGCAAAGTACTGCACAAATATGATTTCACATGCAATGTGGGATTGGTTCTCCTTTGCTGTTTTCTCCCTTGAAGCCACCAGAACAGTTTTCATTCGATTTTTAGCTAAATATTGTCTTTGTTGAAGGAAATCCCCAAGGAAGGCTCTATCGGTATCGATAATGAATTTAACAGATTTCAATAATTCCTCCTCTATCTCAGGGTTGAATTCTTCGCTAAAGTTGACAATTCGCATCATGAACAATTGCAAATTATTGAGAGGCAACCAGCCTAACTTCGGCGTCAATCGGCGACGAGAACCCTGTAGACGGCTATCACGAGAGAAAGACTGGTACCCAGTGTCTCTTGACGAGCGGGTTGGGGTTGGGGTTAATTGCGGTTTAATATTTTTATATATTTATCACATAAACTACGGTGTTTTACAAGGATTTCCAGACCAGAGAAAAGCCGTAACAACACGATATTTCTTCACTTGTGTTTGATATCGCCAATCAGCTGCTGACACGTCACTCGCCTTTCGCGCCACTCGGTCAAATGAATGAACGGCAAAGCCTGTACCATTCTCAATCCAAGGTCGTTTGTCGGATTTTTTTGGATTATGGCTACCAAAACACTGAAAAATCCGTATCGCTACAGATAGTGACGTTCAAACTTTCTTAGAAGGGAAAGACAACCAAAAGGAGAAAAACTGAGGGGAAAAAAAAGATTACAGCTAAATATTTTTGAAGACGTTTCGATGTCGCTTCACCCAAATCTGTTCTTAAACGCAGCTAGATTCGTTTATAGAAACTTAATTGCCTGTAAACATCGTATAAATTCCTTAAAGATTTGTTCGCTTTATATTCAGCCACTATTCAGTCGCCTCTAAAAATTAAGTATTCAGTACAATGTCTACAGTGGGATCGAATTAATTACTATTACTCCATCCGCTTTTTAAGCAAGCTTCTCCAATTGTTTACAGCACATTCTTCTCCAAATGTTTACAGCAAATTCCTTGACTTTCTGTTCGCTTTCCCTGTGCAGGTCCTTGAAGACGAACGAATCGACGGAAATTATTGTTTATGGTACTTTGAAGCCGAAAAGGCGTATTACGACTCATAAACTTTTTTGTTTGTATAATAAAGAGCCTAGTTTGATCATTTTTAGAAGAAATAGATAGAGAGGGAAAGCTAAACGAGATGAACAAATAAATTGTATTACTATTTTTATGTTTGTATGGTTCTGAGCTTTATCTTAGAAATTAAAGAAAGGGGCTGGTAGTATTTTGTGTCTCAGTTTGTCTAAAATTGTTATCAGCCTGATGAAGCTTCAAAGTCATGTCTATATTTTTTATTATTATACAACTGCACGAAGTAGAGTGCAAATAATGATGTCGTGGATCCAAACGCAGATCATTTGTCCATTTTGGCGTCGTTTCTTCACCGCCAGAAGCGACACCAAAATGGACCAATGATCTGCGTTTGGACCCACGACATTAGACGAGATCGCTTGACCCCAATCAGGCTTTTTCACGTGACAGTGCATATCTCTCAGTTATAATTTATAATTGAAGCAAACGTTTGTGTATACACACAAATGTTTACCAATGAAAATTTTTAAAACTGACTTTCGAGATTTTCGAGACAGTGTTTTCGTCTCATAAACAGCATTCTGCATTGAATATGGCCACATGTTTTCGCCACCCGGCCATATTTTATGCAAGACTGACTGAGAACTATGCTCTGGCACGTGAAGCCTGACTGGGGTCAAGTGATCTCGTCTAATGTCGTGGGTCCAAACGCAGATCATTGGTCCATTGGTGTCGCTTCTGGCAGTGAAGAATAGAATCCGTTTTTTAGAAATTTTCATGAGCACTGGCACGTGAATAAGCCTTATTGAATTGAACTGATAACTGATATTGCCCGTGGATCCAAACGCAGATAATTGGTCCATTTTGGTTAACTACTTGAGATGTTGTTTCTGGCCTGGTGAGCACATTGTGGTGACAGCTAAATATACCGAGGGTAGGTTGATCCCTTCAGTTTGGCTTTTGCGTCGCATGGCAAGCTTCTGGATCAGTAGTGAGGCTTACTTATTGCTCTTCTGCTGGCTCTTTCTCGAAGCATTCTCCGCATCATGCTCACTATTCAAGACTTTTTCAGTCGATTCGTTGACTTTCTAATGTTAATGATCCTCTACATCCTGATGGAAAGTGACAGAGCTGTACAACAGAGGCAACCGGCAAGAATTAATGAACAGCGTGAACAAGTGAGGAGATTGGAGTTGAACAGAAACGGGGGGAGAAGAAGACACATGGAGGAAAACCAAAATTATTGCTTTCCGCCAAATACAAATTATCCAACAGAAAATGATGAACGCCAGGGATAAGTATTCAGGGTAAGCTGTTTAAGTAACCTTTTTCTGTATCTGTTGGATAAGCCTTAAAAAAATTGAATTTGATAAGATTGTGTACATGTCTTACTCGATTGTTTCGCTTTACATGTATTCAGCCACCCCTTCTCTGTGTAATTTTCGCAAAATGTTGCTTCGTCATCAGGTTCTCAAAGGTCGCGCGCAACTGAAACATTGAAGACAAATAAGCTTAATGAACTCATCTTTTCAACCTCGGAAAATGTTTTATACTCTGCGTATGGCTACCACAGAGACACGTGCAACAAACTGTTCAAAGTCATGGGGTTTTTCGGTTTCTTATTTGGTTTAGGGGCTGCAGTCGTTGTTGTGATGCTTATGTTGGGGATCATGTTTGTCCCAGGCTGCGACGAATGATAATGCAAGAAAGAAATCGTACCCAGCCAAAGCTCTGCTGCTCAATCGGTGGGATCAGAACAGGAATTATGGAGAGTGATCAAGGAAGAGCGACTGAAGCATTTTCCTTCGCGAAAAACTATAAACTTAATTTCAGCAGCTTGGTCGGACCGAGGGGCCCGCCTAGAAACCCTGGGCTTATTGGCCCTTCAGGAAAGGATGGTGTAGACGGAAGACCGGGAAAACCGGGGCTAGTGAATATGTCTCTGTGTGTCTATCGGGCACAATATGGAGTCCCTCTAATTTTCTAGCTTTTTCCTATTTCCTCATCATTCTAGATTCCAACCCATCCCTCTTTTAATTTGCCCAAATGACGCACGTAAAGCTTCAGTGGCTCTAACATTAACATAAATTTCCACTGGAATCGTGTTTCTGTGGTGGCAATTTATTGCTCATGGCCTGTCTGAACTCAGGCTGAGAATTTATATGATGAAAATTTGCCAGGGGTGAAATTTTAACTGTATATTAACTCTGGTTTTCAAATTAACTACTGTTTTACTGTACATAGTTCTCAGCAATTCAATGTGAATTAAAAATTGCGTCAGCCGCTAAGGATTTCTACATTCCATTGTTAAAAGCATGCGCAACTGGAGGAAATTTTTTAAGAGGAATTCAAAATTTGCAATACTTTTTCCTCTTGGCTGGATGTTATGGTTATTTCTCAGTGATAACGATCAAGTAATTGATTTCATTTGCGTTGGTTTCCGAACTGAATACAACCATAGCATTGCAACGACTTTGTATTTGCATTTAGCATCACCTTGCTTCATTGATTTGAATCATAATGCAGATTGAATTATTTAGTAAAAGTGCTTCTTAGTGATACTTTGAGGGAATTAATTTATACCCATATCCTAGAAACTGAAAGAATGAATCAGTTGGGGTTACAATTTTATTGGTTAGTGAATCCATGAAATGAAAAATCGGAATAATCGTTAAAAGATAATAAACAAGTGTAAATGACATGACAACAGTGTGATTTTTTTTTTTTACCAAGATTGCAAAGCCTATAAGTTCCGAACGTGCTAGTGCACCGTGTTGTGAAATCCGATTTCTTTTTAGTACAGTCGAACCTCGATTATCCGGACTCATCGGGACCTCGGTAAATAGTCCGGATAATCGAGAGTCAGGATAATCGAAAATATGAATATTAATGAGATAGAAATGTGAAATAATTATCTGCTTATCTTTAATCAATATAACGGCAAGCTTTCGCTTCGTAGGCATGTTTTTGATTTGAGTTTACGATCGATCGCTCGTGTGTTTACATAACCCACGCAGAAGGAACTAATCAAGCATGAAATTCCCTTGGCAACAAAACAATTGAGCCAACCATATATCAGCTGAACGCATCAGAATACTTCTTTGACTCGTCGCACTTTCGAATTTTGAAAAGCGCCTAGGATAATACGCTGTTTCAACAGTCTTTTGAAAGGATTATTGGGCTTTTTGCGACTTTGAGTATTCAAGATCACAACTAATTAATATTCATGGAAAAATTGGGACCAGAGAAGAAAGTCCGGATAATCGGGGTCCGGATAATCGAGGTTCGACTGTACGCACTTCAATCAATACAAGAGATCTTTTATGTCTGAAATTTTACGCCTCGCCCGTGAGTCTCATTAAGTAACGACAATGTCATGAAGTTTTTGTGTAATTTCTTTAGGCAGCAAGACTAATATTTGTTCTGTGTGCTTTGACAAAGCAATGTCCTTTGCGCGATGATGTTTATAAGACGAAAACACTGTCAAGAATATCTTGAAAGTCCGTTTTAAAAATTTTCATAGGCAGACAATTTCTGTGTATACACAGAAGTTTGCTTCAAAAATAAATTCTAACTGAGAGATATGCACTGGCACGCGAAAAAGCCTGATTGAGGCCGAGTGGTTCGTACGATGTCGTGGGTCCAAACGCAGATCATTGGTCCATTTTGGCGTCGTTTCTGGCAGTGAAAATATGCGGCCATATTTCATGCAGAATGTTGCTTATAAGACGAAAAATAAACAAAATCTCGAAAATCCGTTTCAAAAATTTTCATAAGCAAACAATTTGTGTTGCAATTATAAATTCCATTTTGGCAGCGAAAATATGCGACCACATATATTGCGCGATGATGTTTATAAGACGAAAACACTGTCTAGAATATCTTGAAAGTCCGTTTTAAAAATTTTCATAGGCAAACAATTTCTGTGTATACACAGAAGTTTGCTTCAAAAATAAATTCTAACTGAGAGATATGCACTGGCACGTTAAAAAACTTAATTGACAACTGATGTCCGTGGATCCAAACGCAGATCATTGGTCCATTTTGGTGTCGTTTAGCTAAATATAGGTCATTACTCTTTAGTTTGGCTATTGTATCGCGTGGAAAACTTCAGTAGTCCGGCTTACTTGTTGCTCTTCTGCTGGCTCGTTTCTGAAGCACTCTCCACATCATGCTCTCTATTCCAGACTTTTTCAGTCTATTCGTTGACTTTCTTACGCTAATGA